ACTTCTTGGTCGTTTCTTAAGAGCTCCCCCACCTTCTTTCCTCAGTTTGATTACCTGGTCTTTGACCGCTGTCTTCCTCCTGGTGTGGCTATACAACAGCTTCGGGTCAAACTTGACTTTCGATGCTATGTCGTTTTCATACTGTCGCTGTGCATACTCGTTTCTGGCTCTTCGATTGATTTTTTTATTTTCCTGGGTCCTTTGTGTTCTGTACTTTTTCCATTCTCTAGTGCACTTTGTTTTTGCCGCTGTACACCTTTGGGTAAACCAAGGGCTCGTTCTGGTCTTCCCATTAATTCTGTTGCCCTTGAGAACAAAGCTTTCCTCTGCCTTCTTGCATTTTGTTGCTACGTGTGTGTGTGTGTGTGTGTGAACATAAAAATTTCAAACATGCTAACAAAATGAATATCAGATCATAAATATGAATTATGATACCCTCACTGGCAGATAGAATTTAAAGAGCAAATATGAATAGAAAAAAGGAACACTGCAATAGAACCAATGGTCCTATTGCAATGCAATATATATTATACAATACTGTATACATTCTGCTTAAATCTAATTCAAGCAGAAAATCTTACCTTCAAACAAATATAAGGATGCTGCTTCTTATTTGGATAAATACTTTTCCAACCATTTATGCTGAAAAGGCATGGCTGCAAAAAAAAAAAAAAAACCCGCTTACATTCTGGCTAACTAAACCGGTTCGAGGTGTCCTTGTAGTACGCCCCCCCCCCCACCTGCCCTCGCTTGTGTGCTTTATAAAACTTTGGGTGATAGATGGATGAAGGCCGCACTGGCACCGTTGAGCAATCTGGAATATTCGTACATTTTAGATTTTAGATTTTACCCCGAGTTTAGTGGGGCACCGCTTAGACTATACTTATCGCTATTAAGATAGTGCATATCACCACGAATAGCTGATGCACCATTGGCGATATTAACACTTATGTACTAACTCACATTTGATACTAAATTTACCTCCATGTAAGCAATATGTTGGATATGTTAGAAAAGGTGCTGTCAGTTCCATGTGATCCAACTTGCCCAGCCTCATTATTTTGCATACAGGGCATTGTTTAGACTTCGCAGAACAAGCTAAATACTTAAAAACATTTATCTAAGAACGAAAGAGACTTGAACTTAAGAGCTCTGGGACGAAGTACGCAGTACTATATGGCATGGTGTGTATAGTACTGCGCAGTTTGTCCCAACCCTCATAGATTCGAGTCTCCTCAGTGTTGGAAGTTGTTTGCCGGTATGGTCCCGGCCCGGGTCTTTTCCAAGTCTCCCCCGGTCTGAGATAAATGTTTGTAGATATAGGGCTTTATAAAATGGTGAGCTTCTGAGAGGCCCAAGAGCATCACTGCCCCATACCTCCACCATCACAGGAAGTTAGTACAGCGCGTCTCGCTCGACTGGTCACCCTGACCATCCTCAGACACTGTGGGAAGGACTGCCCATCCTGTGGCCCACACACTGGGCGGGCTGCCCGCCTTGCGGCCCACACAGTGAAAAGGGTTGGCCTCTCTGCGGCCCCCATACACTGTGGGCAAGGCTGCCCAACCAACCCCCACGACTCACACTGTGGGCAAGGCTACTCATCCGGCAGCCTACTCGCACAATATGAACAGAGCTGCCTACCCAGTGGACAGAATTACCCTCCCCGCGGCCCACACACGCTATATACCTCCCTTTTGTTCCTACCATGACCACAGAAGCGCCTTCCACAATGACGTTAGGCTCTCCCAGTCTCATCAGAGCACTACCCAACCCTCTTCTCGCGCCTCACTGCACAATAAATGCGATATTGCCGATCATCTATCACAAAGAATATCGTAGTATTTCATAAATGGTGCACTTCAAAGACACCGGCTATGTAAAAGCAAAACAATTTCATTAAAACATTAGAGCACGCAATAATCCAGGCACAAACATTACAAACCCTAAAGATCAACTATAAAGCATTTTGTCCATATGTGTATATATATATTATATATATATTATATATATATATATATATATATATATATATATATATATATATATAATATATATATATATATATATATATATATATATATATATAATATAAATATAATATATATATATAAATATATATAATATAAATATATATATAATATATTATATATATATATATATATATATATATATATATATATATATATAATATATATATATATATATATATATATAATATATATAATATATAATATACTGGTCCGACTGATCAGACTTACTGACCGCCGCCACCTGCAGTCCAACGTATGCCGTTCAGGAACTATTTTGAGGAACCCGTCGAGTTCCCTCTTGACGACAGCTAGGGATTTATTGGTAATCTTCCTTATGCATGGAGGATGAGTGTTGAAGTCATGATCCCTTAACACTTATTGACTTCTCAGTGTACTCATCGTTTCCTGCATTTCATTGGAGGTATCCTGCACCGTCTACCAAGCCTCTTGCATTCGTTAGTAATTTAGGTGTGTAGGTTTGGAAACCAATCCCTCCAGCATCTTCCAGGTGTAGATTATGATTTATCTTTCTCGTCTGCGTTCTATGAAGCTCGAGACTTCAAGCACTCTTGGTAATTTGGGTGAAAGTTTTCTTTTTGGGGGACACCCTACATGCCATAATTTATATTTTTAAATGTAAGATTGTCTTATGTAGTGTTGGTAAAAGCCGCAGGGAATGAGAAACTCCAGCTGCCGCAAAACTATTAGCTGCTTCTTCCTTAGAGTAAGTCATTTACTCAGAATTGCACTATACATTGTATATTAAATTAAATTTTAATATTAAAAGCCAAAAGTTGCATATACGTATCTATAATAATAATTATTATTAACTGTAGTAATAGCAGGGGCAGCAGTGGTAATAGTAGTCATATAAACATAGGGAATCGCTAAACTGTAGGGGGTCTACAGCCCCTGGAGAATGGGAGATATGAGATTCAATCGAAAGAAAGGGAAGAGGATTCAAATTCTTTGGATCAAAGAGTCTCTATAATTTTTCAAAAGCATTTAAATTATTTTGTGATTGTAGTATTTGAATTAATAACCGTGAAAAAACTGTTCCACAAGGTACAGTACTTGCCCTCATCCTCATTTCTGACACAAACGGGTAAATCATAATATTATATCTTCCTTTACAGACAATACCAGAATTCGCCTGAGTGTCATTCACTGCGGTTACTGTAAATCCCTAAACAGAAAACAATATGATGTTCAATTAGGACTAATTTCAGTTACTCCGTTATGAAAAAACTTCAGAAAACAAAAACTAGAACGAAGTATAAAACAAATTCTAACCACACAATAGAGCCAAAAATTGTCGGAGGATCTCACCTTCAAGGATCACAACAGTGCCATTATCACAACTGCAAGGAAAATGAGAACCTTCAAAACTAGGGATGCCAAACCACTGATGATCCTCTTTAAGTCACCTGTTCTCTAGGCTCGAATAATACTGTACATTAACAGTTCCTTTTAAGGCAGGTGAAATTGCAGAGCTGGAGACTGTACAAAGAACCTTTATTGTACATATAAATTCAATCAAGCACGTTAATTACTGAGAACGTTCGAAGTCCCTTGATCTGTACTCCTTGGAAAACAGGCTGAAAAGATACATCATAATTTACACCTGAAAAATCGTAGATGGACTGGTCGCAAATCTGCACATGAAAGCAAAAGGTTCGGTAGACAGTGAAACGTACCCCCAGTGAAAAGCAGGGGTGCCGTGAGTACATTGAGAGAAAACACGTGTCAAGGGCTCAAGACTCTTCAGCAGCCTTCCCTCTTACATAAGGGAAATTACCAACAGAACCCTAAATGTTTTCTAGAAGGAACTAGATAGGTTCCTAAAGTCCGTTCCTGACCAGGCAAACTGTGATTCATACGCTGGACTGCGTGCGACCAGCATGAACTATTTGGTTGATCAGGCCCTGATCAACTATGAGGCCTAATTATGGACCGGGTCGCTGGGGCAGTGACCCTCAGAATACCCTCTAGGTAGACTCCAGGTGACGGAAAGGACCAGGGTTCAGTCCTACACGAGGCGAAACGCATGGGTAAATCTAGTATCTGCTACCCCTATTCACCTAGTACTAAGTAGATACCTAGGAGTTAGTCGACTGCTATGGATGACATCCTGGGAAAGAACCTAAGGAACCCTACGGAGATAAGCCACCTACCCTGCTTGGCTTTCTTGGGTTATCCTGGGTTATTAACCTCTGGGGTTATAACCTGAATAAATACTTCTCCAAGGCGGCGCGTAAGAATTCCTGCTATAAGGCATTTATTGTGAATTAAAAGAGAAATGATCACTGTTAGCCGGTAAGTCATTGAAGGGTAGCTTAAAAATAGGTTAAATAAATACATAAGTGAAAATGGGTAAGTGTGAGTAAGACATGTCTAGAATGGGCCAATAGACCTATTGCATTTTTTATTATTGCTATAACATTATGGATAAGGACTTGCCTTGTTTGGGTCAATAGGCCTGCTACAGTACTCTCCATTCTTGTTCTTATTACGTAGGCCTATGGCAGTGCTCCTCTAGTATTGTATGGTGTATGGTCAAGTAAAGAATTCCAGGATGTTACCCACCATCACTAGAAGTTAGCTACGGTTTCATGTTAATTTCGTGTCAACACTTACGAGGAATCAAATAATACCTAAAGGCCAGTATTATAAATTCTGATAAATAAAACTACAGTTGTTTAGGCCTTGTGGAAAGTTTATGTTGAGCAGTAAAAGCTAACGGGTATATAATAAGCCTACGTTGTCTGTCATTTTACAGCTCTCAACCCTCACGTTAACAAAGGTTACAGCCTCTAGGCTTTGGCCAAAGCTGGACACAAGTCACTTTAGTGTCTTGAGTGAATCAACCGCGACAAACATTTATGATCGCCATCTCCTACCTCGCTTCTTTATCCACACCATACCAACCATACACAACTTTACAGCCTAAAAGTGGTACTTTCTGACCTGGTGGACACATGCAGCCCTCCGCAGAGACGTCCCTGGCTACTCGGTTGTGGGTGGGCGGGGGCGGGGCCACATGAAGGCCCAGCTGTTGGAGTTTGTGCTGGAGGCGAGCCTCCAGCTCGCCCTCCAGACGACCCACCCTCCACTCGAGGTCGAGGTGCCTCCAGCCCAGGAAGCACCGGAGACAAGCTGAAGACGACGAAGGCTGCTACCCACGGCACGCCGCCACTACGAGGGGTACTTGTCGTTAGGTAGCTGGAGGGGGACTTGACCTTCTTGGAGTCTCCCTCCGTCAGCGTTTCCGCCACCTTTTCCATAATCCCAGGGGAGTGACTTCAACTCCTAGTGGAACCTGCACTCCACGAGGGTCGCCAAAGTACTGTCACGCATGTGTTACTGATCACTGGCTAATAAACAGCACTAAATTCACTGCCCGCCACTCACGCACCGAAAGAGTAACGGAGGGACTCGTTATTAACACACCCGACAAGCATGGACACTAGAATACATAAAGGAAACAATCGTACGAGAGACTCACATGTGCCCGGAGGAGCGGCCAACGTCCGTCCTCCCTCACTACCTGATCACAACTGAGGCTGCTGCTGCTGTGGCTGTGGCTGTGCGGAATCTCTGCCAGCGACCTCTGGAAACCTCCGCATCACGTCTGGCTGGAGTAGAGAATTTTTCATATGGAATATTTAATACCAAGTTGCTCAGCTTCGGCCGACTTACTCTACTGCGATTAACTTTATTAAGAACTTAAAGTTTATGGGTAAAATTCATTAATGAAGCAGACATGAACGTGGTTATCCGGTATTGTACAGGATGCACAGATTTAGAATTTGTCCCAAGGGAAGAATTTTGTAATATGCTTAGCTATGAGTCTTAGTTATAATATTCTCTAATGGTTTTAATATTACTATCCTATTTAGCAGTACACTCTGACGTTATATTACATAATCGTAGTGTGTTTATGGCAACTTGCTCCATATATAGATAAGAATGTAAATGAATCCTGGTTACCACCATCTTTACTAAGATTTCGAAATGATGCAAGTTAAAGTTATGGATGTTTGTGTTATTATGTGTAGGTGTTATGAAATCTTGGGAAACAATGAACTACTCCGAGGATTGAACCCCTGATCTTCCTCTATCCTTGAACCACCCGATCTTCTTCCTTCGAGGACTGCATCCCCGATTTTCCTTCGAGGATTGAACCCCTGATCTTCCTCCTTCGAGGACTGAAGCTCCCGATCTTCCTCCGAGGATTAAACCCTTCGATCTTCCTCCTCCAAGGACTGAACCCCTCGATCTTCCTCCTTCGAAGAGTGAACCCCTGATCTTCCCCCTTCTAGGACTGAACTGATCTTTCTGTGGAAATTGAAACCCCTGTGAACTTCCTGACAAGTGTGACTACCCGACTCTAGGCATGGACATGGACGAGGCAAGAAGACCTCACACGAAAACTGATGACGGATATAAGAATGGTCACGATAATATTGCAAAACATTCTGAAATTTAACGAGGCAGTTAACACACTAGTCACTGACGGGGATAAAGATAGAGGAAGGACAAATAATTCCTATTATACAAATAACTGGAGCATAGCAAATTTATTCATAGCCTTACCTCGTCTACTCTTTCTAAGCAAGTGACAGAAAAAAACTAGAAGTAAATTAAGATTGAATGATGAAAACAGTAAACATGGGATGAAAAGAATATACGTGAGAGGAAATGGAAAATAAATTGGAAAGAAAACGAGATGTATTTTCCGAGAGAAAAAGGAAATAAATACATATAAAGGATATATAATATATATATACATATAAAGGATATATATATATATATATACATATAAAGGATATATATATATATATAATATATATATATAATATATATATAATATATATATATATATATATATATATATATATATATATTTACAAACAAAAACTTTTTTGTCGTCAGCCAACCATTTTCGCAAATCTGTTTCCAGAGGAAATTACTTTAGTATATTTTTGGAACATAAAAACATGCTTTTAAAAAGCGATCCTCACCATACACGCATGGCAGCCTAACTGGATGAGTCATTTATGGCTCCCGTGTATGTGTGTATCAAGGTATGGGTGTCTATGTTCATGTATGTGTGCGTCCCTAAAGTACACACGATGTACAAACACTGTAAACAATAAACGTGTTTACTGCTCTAGCTGTTTGTGCTTACATTCAGATGTTAGGTTAAGGAAGATTTGTCAGGAAGCAGGACAAGTGTTTCCTGACGCGGGTCTTAGTTATATGACGACCCGCAGCTGGAGCTTTTGGTCATTTGACCGAGGCCTTCTGCTGGCTTACCGGTTCACTTCTTTAAAAATTATGGTTATAATTATAACCCTTTAATAACCATACTAATAAGTGTAAGTATTATTTGCGTGCATTCAGTGATGTATGCTACTTTTATACGTCGAGTATGTATGTATGTATGATTGCATGTATGTATGCATGTATGTATATATGTATGTATGCATGTATGATTGACGTGCACCTCCACTTATAAGTTCAGTGTGATGTTCACTCCAAGGTCCTTTCCCCTTGATTGTACTCCATTTCTGGTTTTCTCTCTCCTTCCCCAAGCTGCATGACCTTGCGCTTGCGCATACTGATCTCTGGTAGCCACTTCTTTGACGATCCTTGCAACCTAAATCTCCATGGAATCCATCCATCTCGTTCCTGTTATTATTATTCTCGCTTATGCCAAGCTATCAACAAAATGACACGGGATTCAGAACAAACTTCAATTTGGACGACGTTTCGCTCTTGACAAAACTGATTCGAGTCTACCTGGAGGTCGTTCCGTGGATCAACGCTCCCGCGGCCCAGTCATTGACCAGGCCTGCTGGTGGATCAGGGCCTGATCATCCAGGCTGTTATTAGCGAAACATGTCAGCATAGTTGCTGATCCCTGTATTCCCAGTATTTATAAGCATAGCATTTTAGTATCATCCCTGTGTTTTAGACACGAGATCCCCGGGGGCCTTTGGCTTTGTTCTCATAGGGAAACACAGGGGCAGGATCCCCGGGGCCCCTCCTCACTCAGCGCAACTCTGGCGTAAACAGCTGGGGAAATTTGGGGTTTCCACTCTCATTCAGTCTACAATATTTTTAAACCCCTAAAAGTGTGCACTTTCAACCTACGATATCTCCTTTTAAGAACCCTTACGATAAATGGTAAAGCGGAGGGCCTGAAATTTTCTGACGATTACAGCGATTTCTGGAGAAAAAAGTTGTCGCCCCAAAAGCGGCCATTTCGTGTTACCAGTGGGCCACCGGGGTTCACCCCATCCAGCTACCTCAACCACTCTCAACCAGCTCACATTTTTCCTGGTCATCTTTTATTTTAGTGGTTTATTTTCTTTTGCATTACCCCGGGGGTTGCCCCATTTTTGCAAAATAAGCCAGTTTCCAGTCTTGGTGGGGGGAGCGTACACCCGAGCCCACCACCAGCCAAAACCCCCAAATTATTTTGGGCCTCCAAGACTTCCCCCCCGCTGTGTAGTTTTAATTAAAGATTTGGGGGGGTTAAATGTTTGCAAAAAAAGGTTTTAAGAAAAAGAAAAACCCTCTAGCCAAAAACCCGTTGGGGGCCCCGGGTTTAAAGTTTTAAAAAGGGGGGTAAACCTTAGTTTGGTATTGGGTATTCAAACCCCGGTTAGAATTATTTTGGGGGGGGTTGGGGAGGAGGCTTAGGAGTTAAAAAACCCCCCATACGATATTTTGGGTGCCCCATTGGGGCTAACCCCTAAAATTAAAAAAAAACCCCAATAAGGGATTAAATCCCTTTAGTGTTTTGGGTTGTAAAAGGGTTGGGGACCAATTTTTTTTAAGGGAAATAGGGGGTAAAAGAAGAGTGTGGGGATTTTTAAAAAGTTGGGTGTTTTTTGGAAAAAAATTTTTTTTTAAAAAAGGTTTTTGTATTGTGCAAGGAAGAGAGATTAAAAAATATTTATTTTTTAATGAAGTTAAATTTTTTTTTTGGGGGGGTTTGGGAGTGTTTTGGGAATTTTTTGTGTTGTTTTTATTTTTAGGAATGTGATTTGTAAAAGGTTTACATGTACTGTTTCATAAATTCTTTTAATCTCCTTAATTCAGTTTTAAATTTTTCCCCTGCTTTATTTTTAAACTGTTGTGTTGTGTTTCTTTTTATACACACTTGAAGTAAACTTGTGTTTCCTTTTGTTTGTTGCAACAAAAGCATATAGAACTTGTGTTTAAATTTCAAATTCCGGGAAATTTAACTCATAAATTTTTAACCCAATTCTGCATCACAACTCATGTTGTCTTTTTATTTTTTTTTTTTTCCACATTTGTGGAATTTTATTATTTTTTTCCCTGTGTTTGAATTCTTGGTTCATATTTTTCCATTTAGCCAGTGTTTAATTGTCTTATTTCCACAACAAAAGTGCCATTTTTAAAAAGCTCCAGCAAGAAATCGTTTACAAAATTTTTTTTAAAAAATCAAGTTCATTGCAAGAAAATCTAGACTGATTTATTTGATTTTTGTGCCTGCTCACTGTAAAATGTTTTTATTTTTTTTGTTGGTGTTTTAGCACCTATTATTTTTCATATTTTAATTTAACAAATTCCAACTTAGTGCAATTTTTTAAATTCTCCTTCTAAAATAAATTGTTCTTTGCTTGTTTGTTTAAGTGCAATTAAGAGTTAAAGTGTTCATTCCTTGATATATTTCTTTTTTTGTGTTATAATTTTTAATTTAAAAACAGACCCATTTTGCAATAATTCTTTGGGGCAAAATTGTGTTTCATTAAAGTTTTCTGCAGAAAATTTTATGCAGTGTTTTGCAATACAGTTTTTACAGTGCATTTTTTTATGCCTGTTCTTGCAAGTATTTTTTTTTGTCTGTCATTTTAAATTTTTTTTTCGTGAATTGGGGTGTTTTTTAATTTTTGCACAAGTTTTATTGAGTCCATTTTATTTTTTATTGTTATTTTCCCCTTTTTGCATTGAAAGTAAAGACAACTCACTGTGCCATTTTTTCAAATTTAAAGTAAAAGTTAGCAAATTAGAAATTTAGCAAAGTACAATTCTCTTATTTTTTGTGTTTGTTTTTTCATATTTTTTTTTCTTTGTAGTTCTTTGCTTACTGTGTAACTTGTCAATTTTTTAATTACTTAATTTCAAATAGTTTAAGCATTTCTTCCATTTAACTTATTGTGTCATTCTCTCCACTTTTTCTTTCTTATGCCCTTCAGTATTTTCACTGAGAAAGTCCCCCATTTTTTAAGTTCCTTAGTGTATCATTCCCCGTCAAAGTCATAGAATCAGTCCCCCATACCCAAAATTTCCCTTACTGACTGAAAGACAATACCACCCTTGAGCAATGTGTTTGTTCTCACAGCTTTATCTGAATTTGTTAAAGGCTGCGAAATGTGAAGTTTGATTAAGTTTCCAAAAATCCGTGAATTACTATTAAGAGCCCACGGGCAGGCACTATAATTCTGTCCCCCATCGGTTCCACCTAACCTTTAAACTTGCGGGTAGTGTTTTCCCTTGCCTAAGGCCGGGAAAACCCCAGACTGCCTTGATCACAGCCTATCCCTGCAATGACTGCTAGTTCCAGTATATTTTTCCACAGGGGGTGCCTTCAGAAAAAAGATTACTTGCAAAGTAATGCCATCTCTTGTTGAAATTTCCCTGCGTCGCAAAAAGACGTCTCTGTTA